CCCTCCTTATAAATATGACAAGGTCAGCATCTTTTCTGAATGGTGGGTAGAACTGTCTTAGATGTATTGTAGATGTGTCTTTGTTTACTATATCAAGAAAAAAAAAGAAACTAAAGAAAATACTTTCCATTTATTAAATCTCAGAAATGATCAATACTTATAAAATGCAGTATCCGATCTAGCACACAGCAGTGTTTTGAACATCAGAATCAATGTAATGTATACATTTAAGTCACAATTAGAGAAACCCTGTATTATTTGTAAGCAAGACATGCCACATGTTCTTTAAAACAGTTATATTTAAGAAAACCTTTCAATAAGCTTATACGAGTAAGATATTTTGTAGCACTGTGGGCAAGAAAGAAGGGTTAAAAAAAGCGACAATAGAGGATTTGCGAAAAGGTCAGATGCGGTCTAAGCAAGAAATAAATATAGCATTCTATTAATCTGCTTTATACAAGCTCAAGATAAAAAAACACACACACAGAGGTATGACTTGTCCCACATTACCACCCCAATCCTCTGTTGCTTCTCATTGGTGCTTAAACATGTTAGACATAGCTGACCATATAGAGATTATATGTCCCTAAAAGACCATTGAAACAGAATGGCTTTGTAATGGGATAAGATGTCAGTCAGGACAGATGGTAAATTTGATCAGTTGATAATTGCAATTGGTTTTGGGTTGACTAGAGTCAACACCAAAGCCCTTTAGGATTTATTTTAACCTTTATTTAAATTAAATAAAGAACTGGAAGTTTCTAAACCATATTTTTCTTTAGCAGAATTTGTGTAATGTTTATAAGTTGTTCATCTACTAAATTCACATTTAATGCATGGTTAAAGATTCCAAGGGACCCCAAAACCTGTTTTTTAATGTCTGAGAAAACAAATTAATGTCTAAGAAAAATGAGAATTAATAAAAAAGGAGATTTGCACACAGGACTCTATATTCTGTTGATACACCTCTCAAATTTAGATTGGGGACAAGCTTGACTTCTTTAACCATTTCCATACCGGGCACTTTTACCCCCTTCCTGCCCAGGCCATTTTTCAGGTTTCAGCGCTCTCACACTTTGAATGACAATTGCGCGGTCATACAACATTGTACCCAAACTAAAATTTTATCATTTTCTTCACTCAACTAGAGCTTTCTTTTGGTGGTATTTATTCATCGCTGGGGTTTTTTATTTTTTGCTAAATTCGAAAATTTTGAAAAAAAGCACGTTTTTCTTTGTTTCTGTCTTTTTTTTTTGTTGTTATAAAAGTTTGCAAATAAATAATTGTTCTTCATAAATTTAGGCCAAGATGTATTCTGCTATATGTCTTTGGTGAAAATAACTCAAATTAGGATGTATTTTTTTAGTTTGTAGGAAAGTTATAGAGTTCATAAACTATGGGATAGATCTGAATATTGATCAATCCTGAAGTACTGACAGCCAATCTAATTTCTTGAGGTCCAAGAATGTCAGAAAAGTACAGATATCCCCCAAATGACCCCTTTTTTGCAAATTAGGCAGTCCGACGTACTTCATAAGAGGCATGGCGAGTTTTTTGACGTTGTATTTTTTTTGTCATAATTTTTCGGAAAATGAAAAAATAAAAAAAATATTTTCACTATTTTTTTTTTTTTACATACTGTCACCAGTGCAATACAGCATCATCATATAACTGGCATGGCGGTGATCAGGACACTGACTGGTGACAGTATAAAAAAAAATATATAATTTTGTTTTTATTTTTTTTTATTATTGTTAATTTTTTATTACATTTTTTTCTTTTTTAAAGATTTTTTTTTATATTTCACTATGACCAAAGTAGTATAAATGTTTACCATAGTAACATTTTACACAATTTGCTTATAGCAAAGAATTACTTTGCTATAAGCAAGCATTTACCTGAATGACATCGATTCATTCAGGGTTTTTTTTTTTTTGTGCTTAGCTGTTATTTGGCCACGGCTAATCACATGACACAGCTGGGCTGTGATTGGCCCAGCTTGTGCATGTGATCGCTGTGACCATTCACAGCTAGCCACACTAGAATACAATGGATGGCATGAATGAAGCCATCCATTGTATACAACTGTCATGTGACCTGCTGTGATTGGTCACAGCAGGTCACATAGTACCGGCAATGGGGCCGGTACGCAGATCTGTCATCGGCCGTGTCCGTGGTACATGTCCGGTGACAGATCGCAACCGCTGCACGGGCTCTGCAGGTGCGCAAACTGCGAATGCCCGGGAGGACACCTGTCTATCTTCAGTCCTCTCTCCTCTAAATCAATTCAAAGTCCAGAATTTACAAAGCTTGTCTAAGTTTTCAAAAAAGGGGGAGGGGAACTGAAACTGCTAACTGCAGATCTCAGTGAGATGAGCTCTGAAAGCTGAATGGAGGGAAGGGACACCCCCTCCTCTTCATATAGCACACAAGAACAGAGCTGAGGTTGACAATCACAGGCTGTGCCCTCCCCATCACCATTTTCTCTTGGTGTCAGAAGTGCCTTATGCTTATAGCAGAGGAATGAAGCAGCAGACAGAAATGACACTTAGTGCTTTTAGTTGAGACAATAACATACTATGGAGGAATAGGCTTTGCTCATATTTCATGCCTGGGGTTTACAACCACTCTAAAGCAGTAAGTATCTTTTTTAAAGCAAACTCTCTGATATTATAAGCAAACAAACTGTGCATACAATAATACTTGCAAATCAGTGTTAACTTTTGCATTATTCATATGATATCTATGTTCTTCAGTATTGGTAAGAGATAGTAACAGGTGCTTCCATCTGAGGGAAGTGATTTAATCATTATCTCAAAGGAATTTATGAGCTATATGCTATAAAATGTGTGAGTATGAGTGTGTAACAGATATATTCTGTTCTAACCCACTCCTCCCTCTCTCTAAAGCCCTGTACACACAGACCGAATAATGGGTGGTATTGGTCGGTTTTGATAAAAACCCAGCTGACATTCGGCACATGTGTATGGCAGATGGTCCAACAGAATGTCCAGCTTCTGCTGAAGGGACGTGAATTAAAAAGGTCTGCTAGTCGGCTTCCTATCAGCACTTCCAGCCAATGGCTGAGAGCACTGACCTGTGTGTTCTGGTTGGGATGGCAGTCCCCCTGTCAAAACGCAATACCACATTGGGGGAGATCACTGTACTAACACTGCTTGTGTTAGTACAGTGATCTGTCAAGTTTTTGTTTTTTTATTTAGCCTGCTGGGTTTAATGGGGAAAAAAATAGTGCATATGGGCCCATATAATTCTTTTATTAGTGACTTGTTACTTGTTTTTAAAAAATGCACCTGTCAAAAACTGAAAAAAGAAAACACAGGACAGCAGTGGAGGAACCATATTTTTCTGTGCTCTGCTGCTTATGAAAATGTGAGAACATGAACATATAACCTCTGAACTATTCAGACAGCAGAGCTGAATCTAAGAGCCCATGGAGCAGAGGTCTTCAAACTGTGGTCCTTTGTTTGTCTTTATCACAGCCCTTGGGGCCCTATTCCATTCACTGACACCAACCATGGAGCATAATTCATGTTGCTGACACCAGCAAAGGGGCACTATTCCTCCCACTGACATCAACCATGGGGCACAATTCCTCCCATTGACACCTACGATGGGGTACTAATCCTTCCACTGACACCAACAATGGGGCACAATTCATTCCATTGACACCAACAATGGGGCACTATTCCTTTCACTGACACCAACGATGGAGTACAATTCCTTCTCAAATTTATGGCACTATTCCTTCTACTGACACCAATGATGAGGTACTTTTTCTTCCACTGACACCATTGATGTGGCACTATTCCTCCCACTGACACCAACAATGGGGCACTATTAATCCTATGGACACAAATGATGGGACACTATTCCTCCCACTAACAGCAACAATGGGGTATAATTCCTCCCACTGACACCAACAATGGAGTATAATCCATGTTGCTGACACCAACAAAGGGGCAAAATTTCTCCTACTGACACAATTCCTTCCATTGACGCCAAATATGTGGCACTATTCCTCCCTCTGACACCAATGATGGGGCACTATTCCTCCCACTGACACCAATGATGGGACACTATTACTCCCACGGACACAAATGATGAAACACTATTCCTCCCACTGATACCAATGATGCAACGCTATTCCTCTCACTGATACCAATGATGGGGCACTATTTCTCCCTCCAAATATCAACAATGGGGCACTATTCCTCCCTTTGATTCCAAAAATGGGCATCCGTTACTTTCACTAACACCAGAATATTTTCTACTCCCACTGACAACAGTTCGGCCCCCCTAAAGTCTGAAGGACAATAAATTGTCCCTTTGCTTAGAAAGTCTGGAGACCCCTGCCATAGAGAATTCTAAGTCCTTCACTGTGCCTTCACAGTAAATAGGTGACCTTGATAAACTACAAGACACATAGGGGTTGATATATTAAGGGCAGATAGGGCAAGGAAGTTGTACTTCCCTAGAGATTACTGACTGTGGTGAAATTTCACTTTGCATAGAATACACAATTATGTGCTAGAAAGAAAAGCTCAATGTTGCTAACACGTGATTGAATGATGCCAGTCAGCAGAGCTAATCCTTTTACTAAGAAACCTCATTCATTAAACTCTAGGGAAAATTTACTTGAAAAGTACAACTTCCCTTGCAAAGTGAACAGTCTATTTGCCTTTGTTAAATCAACACTATATTTTGGTAAGTCTGCATTCATGCACTATTTTTAATTTGCAATTTCAGAGTGATTGCATTATAAAAAAAACATTAGTTCCCTGTTTTAAGCAGTATACACTGTAAGAAAGCACATATTTACTATCTCTTCTCAGCATGAATCTCACATACTGTAAAATAATGGGAACATGCAAATTACAGATTAGAGCTTGGCATGGATTTATTTGCACGCCTGAGCAATAGCATTTCTACAAAACTTGTGGGGCATGCACTTTTCCTATAAAGATAATATTTCATGCTTCGGGTAGTCTGAACCATTTGGAAACTCGGGCGCTGCCCGAGGGCCCGGGGTCAGTAGGGGGCCCCATGAGATGCCCCTGGTACCTTTTTCATAGGCTTTTTTGAGTTTGGGCAAGCACACAGGGGCCCCATAATCCCCTATTGCCCGGAGGCCCCATGAGTTGTCAGTCCGCCCCTGGTCTGAACACTATATGCCCCAACCTTTCTGCCAAAAATAAAGGATGTCCAAATGCACATGCTGTATAAGTTTCTTATGGCTGGAGCAGGGGCGGCAGACTGACAACTCATGGGGCCCCCGGGCAACAGGGGATCATGGGGCCCCTGTGTCTTTGCCCAAACTCAAAAAAGCCTATGAAAAAGGTACCAGGGGCATCTCATGGGGCCCCCTACTGACACCGGGCCCTCGGGCAGTGCCCGAGTTTCCAAATGGTCAGTCCGCCCCTGGGCTGGAGCTCATCTCACTTCTTCATTCTTAAAATTCAGATTAAATTTCTTTTAAGAAATTGCTGATGTTGATCCATGGATCATCATGTTACTAAGATCCTAAACAGTTTTAAACTACATGCTTACTATAATGTAAAGATTCTTTGGATAATGAAAATTGTTTTTAACATTCTATAGCCCAATATTTGTGAGTGTGTGTATGTTTTGTTCTATATCTGGGAATGAATATCTATATTAGGATTTTAGACGGGTAAATAAAAGTATAAACCTTTTTAGACAATTTACTCACATGATGTAGAGGGGGATGCTAAATTATGACAGGTGGAACACTTGTCATTGGAGCCCCAGACAGCTTGTGTGATACTTCATTTATAGGCAACATCAACTCACTTGTGTTCACGTATAATTCAAAGATGAACGTTCAATAAACTTACACAGTGAAAGAAAACTCTATATTAAGGGCCGTGGTAAGGCTATACAAATTATAGGAAATCTGAATACATTTATCAAAATACTGTATAATATTTATGCTTATTACCTGTCCTTGTGCGTTTGTGACAAGTTGTCCAGTAACACCTTGCAGACTGGATAGTGCATTTCCAAAGGCCTGTGAACTCGCTATTGAGCCCATGGCAGCTGCTGCCGCTGCAGCAGCTGCTGCTGCTTGGTTTGCTAAGGGGTTATTAACCATCTAGAAAGCAAAAAAAAAAAAAAATACACAGTTCTCAAATTTATTATAAAAGAAATGACAGTGAAAATATTCTCTTCCTACTTCTCAAACCCCCCCCCCCCCAAATATATATATATATATATATATATATATATTATACGGTATACTGTATATATCAAAATTTTTTAAGGGGTATATTTATTATTTATATATATTTTTTATTCACTATAATTTTTTTACATACACTTTAGCTGAAGTAATCTTTGTGTCTCATTAGCATATACTCTTAGGGCCGGTTCACACCAGGTTTTGAACAGAAACATGCTGTGCATTCCTGTGTGATACACATGCAGTCCTGTGCGGTGCTGAATGGGCTGAAATTGCACCGCACCATAAGTAATGCATGCACTACTATTGGAAACTCATTGCAACCGTATCACATGCAATCTGGTGCGGACAAGCACACTGCGTTTGAGATCTGCGTTTGGGATGTCATTAACTTAATATTGATACCCGCTGCAGATCACACCTGCAGTGCATTTTGAACGCAGTTCTGGAAACGATCACAAAACATGGGTCTTCTGCACAGCGTTCTGTTGTGAATCGACACTTAGACATGAAAATGTCGACATATGCAGATGGAAACTTTTGTACTAACACAAATGCATACATAAGGGGAAAACTGTGCTTAGGTATAAAAGTGAATAAGCTGCCAGCACTAAGCTTCGTGATTCAAAATCTACAATAAATATATAAAATAAAATACAGTTCTTTCAAGTGTCCATATAAAAAAGAGTGGCAGCGTGAGCCATTAATGCATAAAGTGCAAACAGCAATGCAAAAGTAACAGTACTCTCCAATATCCCCAAAAACCGAGAGCCACCAATTGATATAATGTAGATGGAAAAAACACCCATAACATCATCCACTGACTATAAAGAAGAAAACCACCAGACAGTATCCACCTTGGTGTGCCTGAAAAACTTACACCCTTACCAGATCTGTATGACCACTTATTCAAGTATGGTCATAGTGCTCAAGTCTTTACAGCTGCTCAGTCTCCATATACATCACATTGTGGGTGCTCCAGCAATCCCCAATAGCAATAGCATATAAAGAGGGAAGTTCTCATAGTGTAGTAAGATAAAGCCAATAGTTGGTTAAAATGATTAAAAGTGCACACATAAATAGTAAGCCAAAAATGCAGCATCGCATTGTAAGCATCTGATTGGTAACTGTCTCTTTGTAATCCAGCTTCTGCTATCGGCATGCATACGTGATGATGTCTCCTACACTGGCTCCACCTGACGTGTTTCATTGTAGCAGACATCATTACTTCCCCTGGCTAAAAACAGCCCTGATGAAGGGGGGGGATTGCCGAGCCCCCAAAATATATTGGCTGTTACAAAATTAATACAAATCTTTTAAAGGGCTGTACAAGCTGGTGTGGTGCTCCCATCCTTTCAAAACTTAAGTAAACTCTTCTGGAGGTCCAGCAAGACCCCACAATTGCTGGTGAGCAGCCTCTAGGATGATAAGCCACCCATTGTTTTAAGTCATCTTCATATGGCTCAGCGCTCCTACATCACAAAAATTATAAAAAAATAAGGAAGAATCTAATTGGCAGTTAATTTTTTTTTTTAAATATCATACCTGCAAAGAAACATGGTAATAGTTACCTTTCTTGCTGCAGATATACATTCCTCTGCAGAGTGATCCTTGAATGAAGTCTCTTTTGAATTCAACACTTCTAAAAGTGTCAATCTCAGATAATCCACAAAGCACTTAATGATTATTCCCCCTGACCTTCAAGTCCCCTCAGGATACAGTAGTGATGTCATGGAGGTCAGTGGGAGGAGCCATTTAGGGCTGCAGGGGACACAGGAGATTGACACTCCTGTAAGTGTCAGATTTAGAAGGCACTGCATCCAGGGATTACTTTGCAGCAGAGCACTGTTTGGTGGTACAACCAGCAGGAGAGATGTATCTGTGCTTGTTTGCATTGTCAGAGTAAAGCAGACAATAGATGAGTAGAAAAACAAATAAACATTCAGGTCAATAGACTGGCCATTTGATTTTCACACATTCAGGTCAATAGACTGGCCATTTGATTTTCACGTAATTAGCGTGTCCACTATAAAAGACAATTTTCGGGACCCCATTGAAAATACAAAAACGAACATGTTGAAAAATTTTAACTAAACAATTTTCTAATTGTTTATAGGGTTATTGTTTTAAAAAAAAGTTAAAAAACGAAATGTGCATGACCCGGAAGCAAACAGAACCTTTTTCTTTCACAAAAGTTCTGTCATATCTTATTTTAATGATCATAGTGTAGTGTGTGTGTTTTTCTACCATAGGAAATCAAACACTTTCTAATGTCAAAGCTGGCAGCTTAAAGCATTGTAGGGGACAAGCAATTTCAAGATTTTGTGCATTGAGTCCTTGTAATCACAACAAGGAATCCAGACAGAAGTGTGTGCAGCAAAGCTGTTTAACATAATAAACCCCCTGTTATTTCAAGCCTGGATTAGCATAAAAAAGGGTCTGGGTTTTGTGAATAGGGTATGTTTATGTTAAATAGTGTTGCTTCACACAGTGCCATTTCTGTCTGTCTGTTTTCTGTCTGCAAATCCATTAAAGCCAGTGTTCTTTCAAAACCAATATAGCATCTAAAAAGGGCCTGGTTGCTAAAACTGATTCGCAGACAGAAAATTGTATAGTCGCTGTGTACAGCAAATTCTTTCAAAAGTCAAGGCATATGTATAAGAATGTCATCCTGTTACTAGACTATACATAATTTTAATTATTCTTTGGTTTCCTTGTCCTTTGTTTTAACACTTTATGTACAAATGTACACCTGTTGCCAGACTTTAAAGAGCTTGTGTCTGATTTAAAGTATGGCAAAAAGAAGAATATATAGAAAAAGCATGTGTGTATGTTGATGGTGCAAAGCATAGATGAAGTAGAAAACACAGTTGTTAATAAGCAAATATAAGACAAGAAACACAAATAAAGAAAAGTAACATGTTTATTTTCCAAAGTAGTACAACAATGATATATGCTTTATCTTGCTTTTAATGCAGCATTTTTTTAATTACAAAAAAGCAAACAAAAAAGGGAATCAATAATTACTGTACAAATTAAACTTTGTTCAACATGTCAGTGACATCTGAAATTTTCCTGTGGAGGGGAAGACATTTTTGTTCTTACATATCCAATATTAGCATTTACAACTCTAAGATCAGATATAATTTTTTTGTGCTGTAGCCTTGTTAAACATTGTACAAACTTCAATGATCAGTTACATACTAGTTGAAAAGAAAAAATAATAAGACAATACAGCATAACATATCGACAATCTGATTGTGATATACAAAAAGAGACAAAATTATGGAAACACCAGGTAAAAAAACAACATTGTTACCTAATATGGTGTTGGACTGCCTCTGGCATCCAAAAGGGCCTGAATTCCCCTGTGATTTGACAAATGTAAGTCTTGGATGGTGGATAATGATGTTCGTTATCACACTTAATGAAAAAAATCGTTCCAATTCTCGCAGAGATGCCGTAAGCAGTAAAATAGCCCAAACCTTGTTCTCCAAAAATTGACCATAGTAGTTCTATGACATTGAGGTCCGGCGACTGTGGCACCCAGGGAAGGTACCAGACTTCATCTGCATGCTTGTTAAACCATGATTTGACAACACCAGCTGTACTGGGAGCATTATCATCTTGGAAAATGACGATGTCTTTGGGAAACAATGTCTGCACAATGGGGTACACATGGTCAACCAAAATTTGTACAAAGTCACAGGCAGTGACTCTACTTTTCAAAGTGATGATGAATACGAAGATATGGCTGCCAAACCAGGCTGTACCGTTGGCACAAGACATAAGCTTGGGATGGTATTCGCCACACGTAAACACGTATGGTGGTTGGAAACAGTTTGAAGCTCAATTCATTGGACCATATTACAGTCTTCCATTGATTGATAGTCCATTATTTATGGGTGTTGAACCACTCTCTCCTCTTCAGATCATTAATATTGATGACTAGTGGTTTGGCAATTGCAGCTTGCCCGTGAAAGTTTTGCTTATGGAATTCCCTCAGTTTCTGTGGACATGGGTTTTGGAAGATTGAGAATGAGCTCTGCAATCACTTTTGCAACAATTGTTTTCTTATTCCGAGTCACATTCCTACACAATTTTTTTCGTCTCATTCGTTCAGTTGACCATGTCGATCACGCTTATGCTTATCAGATAACGTTTTCCCAGAAACTGTATATGCTATCATAAACTTTTATACTGTACCTTGCTAAATTGCAATTGGCAACTTCAGTCACAGAGGCACCAGCTAAGTGGGCATCAATAATTTGGTCTCTTTGAAACTTAGTAAGCTCAGACATAATTCCATATTACTAGCAAAGCATGCAGTGAATGACAAAGATGAGGCTTCCCACCTGTTAGCTAGTCGTCTCATCACAGAGCCGAAGCAAAAGAATGTTACATCACTTTCCCTTTCAACATTAAACATGTCTTCACTTTCACACCTGAAATTCATGTATTGTTTCCATATTTTTGTCCAACCCCGGTCGATATAGAATCACCTGAACTGGTTACATTCTTATGGTCTTGACTCACTTCATATGTAAAAAGAATGATGTCCGCCAATTCAGCAGAGATGAATTGGGCTTCTGTTTTAGGTGCACAGCTTGCCTCCTGTGATTCCTGTAACTGCTGATCTTGCTCTGTCAGAAGACTTTTTCTCTTTCCACCTATAGAATACATACTGGACATATCAACAATCTGATCATGTTTGATATAGATATAGAAGTACCTGAACTATTTACATTGTTGTGGTCTTGACCAGGGGCGGACTGACCATTCGAGCACTGCCCGAGGGCCCGGGGTCTGTAGGGGGCCCCATAAAATGCCCTTGGTACATTTTATAGGTTTTTTGGGTGTGTTTTCAGTTTGGCAAGGACACAGGGTCCCATGATCCCCAATTGCCCGGGGGCCCCATGAGTTGTCAGTCCGTCCCTGGTCTTGACTCACTTCATATGTAGAAAGAAAGAATGATGTCAATTCAGCAGAAATGGATGGAGCTTCTGTTTCAGGTGCATAGCTTGCCTCTTGTGACTGCTGCTCTTGCTCTGTCAGAAGCCTTTTTCTGTTTCCTCCTACAGAATGTAAAATCATTGTACTTAAATTTTACTACATGTTAATGGAACATACAGTAAATACACATTTACAAATTCACAAATTCCACATGACACTGATATAAGCAAGAACGTTCAGCATAAAAAACAAATCCAGCACATGTCACAACATCACCAGTTGAAATAGAGTGTTGATTGTCATAGAATCCTAAAACCCACCCTTTCTGGGCCAGTTGACAGGCCCATGTGCTCATTGTTTGTATTGTATAGTTAAGTGTCCACCATGCATTCCACAACACATGGACACATAATTATATGCACAAGTCCCATTGAGTAAGCAATTAGTTTGCTGCATTGCAATGAAGAGTGCAATGTGACGGAATCATTCTGAAATGTAAAGTTTTCTTTCTGCATGCTGTGTCTGCAATATGATTGCAGCTTTAGAAAGAAGGCACATAGCACACACAAATCTATGCAAGAACATTTTGCATTCACAACCGTGAAGGCACATGGCAATGACACATAGGGGGAGATTTACTAAAACTGGTAAACCCAGAATCTTTTGCAGCTTTGCATGGTAGCCAATTAGCTTCTAACATGACCTTGTTCAATTAAGCTTTGACAATAAAGCCTGGAAGATGACTGGTTTCTGTGCAGAGCTGCACCAAATTTTGCACACTCCCGTTTTAATAAATCTCCCCCATAGTTAAAACATTTCAGTGAATTTGACAAAAGAAGACAAATGCATACATACATAAAATATTACTTACTTTCTTGATGGTCTTTTTAATATCTTCCTCGATTGGGGCTCTCACGTAGCTTTAGGTCAGACCATCTTTTGCAAAGCTCATCTTTGGTGTGCTGCACACCATGTCTTCTTCTTAGCACTCTGATACCTTTTTCGATAATTTGGTCCTTACTGATATCACAGCTTCTTGTACAGCTGCAGCCTGCAATCATAGTCTTTCCTCTGTAGGATCTCTACCATATCAGCCATATTTTTAAAAGACATGTTGGATGCTTACCACTCCTCCACCTTCTCTACCTCCTCACTGTCTCCAGAGGAGCTGAACATGTGAGAGGCCATGATGTCTGCAAAAGGGCACCAGGAAAGAGAATAGGTGGAAAATTTACAATATAAACAACTGTTTACAGGGTAGGTTTGAATAAGATTGTTGTCCATGCGCTATGATTTAAATACTCAGGGGGAGTGTACAGAGGGAATGTGCAGTAGGGGAGTGTCAGAGGTAAAAATACATTGCATTACTTCCATAGATGAAGAAAAAAAATGTTCTGAAACAATGATGGCACAATCGTATATAAAATCAAATTTTGATTTTCATTCAACGGATCATTTGTTTTTCTACTCGTCTACAGCCCTTTTAACAGCTTTAGCTCCGTCCTATAGCAGAAATACTTCTACAGGGTGGCAGCCATGTGCAAAGTCATGTATATATATTAATCATATATATATATATATATATATATATTATATGATTTTGCATTTCCAGTGATTGCTTGAGCGGGGGGGAAGAACTGTTAGTAAACAAAACATTTCTCCTCCGTCAGCTCCTGCACAGCGCTGTGAAAAGCATCATGCTTATAGTGAAGCACAAACACAGAACATCAAGTAAAATGGCACACAGCTAACCCTTTCATTTCCCCACATGTTAACCCCTTCATGTCCAGTGCCATTAGTACAGTGTCAGTGCTTTTTGTTAGCACTGATCACTGTATTGGTGTCACTGGGGATGTCAGTAACACCAAGTCCGTTCCCCCCAGTGTCAGAATGCCTGCCGCAGTCCCGCTATAAGTTGCTGATCACCGCCATTACTAGTAAAAAATTTTTTTAAAAAGCCGAGTATATATACCGTCATTTGCAGACTCTATAACTGTCACGTAAACCAATTTACATGTATTGGGATTTTTTTCAGCAAAGACATGTAGCAGAATACATTTTGGCCTAAATTAATGACGAAATTAGATTTTTTCATTTTTTTAACTGGACATGTTTAATAGCAAAAAGTCAAAAATGTTGTTTTTTTCTCACAATTGTTGTTTTTTTTTATTTATAGCGCAAAAAATAAAAGACGCACAGGCAATAAAACACCACCAAAAAAGAAAGCTCTATTTGTGGGGAAAAAAAGGCCGTAAATTGAATTTGCGTGCAGCATTGCATGACCAATTGTCAGTTAAAGTAACGCAGTGCCGTAACAAACAAAATGGCCTGGTCAGGAAGGGGGGGGTAAATCCTCTGGAGGGCAAGTGGTTAACTTTGATTAAGTAAGTTACTTCAAGGACAAAACAAACTCTTTTCCTTCTTCTGTTTTAAAATATCTGCATCTAGCCATATTAAAACAAACCTATTCTAAATGAAATCTAGTTATACAATTTTAGATCTAGGAACGTTTTATACTTTTAAAGATACAAGTATAGTATATGGGCAAGTATATTGCATAAATGACAACTATATCAGGCGTGTCCTCTTTCATGATTCAAGGTACTTTTTTGAAAATGATAAAAAATAGAGAGTATTATCAGTTTTGCCTTTCAGGAAGAACTGTCATACATAGTTTGATGTCCAACTAATGGGCCTGTATTCTACACAGTAGGGATTTGTTTTTTCCCTCCCTTAGGAGATAACTACTGTCTTTGAACACTTTTCTTTCTTTCAAGAGACCTTTTGAATTTTCTTTTTAATGTGAAGCACATAAATTTTTCTCCTGCACAGGTCATGAATCCTGTGTAAAAGGGAAGGAGTAGGCTTCTTTGTAGACTAAAGAATCATGCTTTTGTTAGGGCCAATCTGAAACTGCATGAGTTTGTGTTCTCAAAGAAAAACATTTCATAGGTCTATCTATAATGAAAATAGAGAAGAAACTGCACTAGGCATCTTTTGATTGATTGCAATGTTATTCACCTCTCAAACATGACTTTATTTTGCTTTACAGTATGTCATTGGTAGGCCTGCAATGAGCGTCCTTTATGATTCTTAGAAGTAAAACAGCATGCTGTGTGCATATCACCCTCAAAAATTAAATATATAACTAACTTAATCAATTAAATTTGGGCTAAGATTGAGGGTAGAAAATCATAATAAAATTAAAAGGAAGCCCTTAAACTCAAGAAAAATCATAAAACCAAGAATACTCTATTATAATCTGAATATGAAAGTACACAGAATAAAATCTCAGCACTATTGCACTTTTCATGAAGAATGGAAATGTCCACTTATATAGAGTATAGATATGGAACATAGCATTACACCTTGAAAGCAACTGCTAGGAATAGTTTCATTATACTTCTGTTTGTGCATCTAAATATTGAGCCCTAAATTGTGCAGTGCACAGTGGTTCTCTTGAGTACATTAAACACAGGCAGATGAATAAGAAGATTGAGCCTCACTTTTAATACTGACAGCCAACTTCAACACACAGATATAATTGAAGTGTTATGAGACTATTTATCTATTTGCAGGCAGCCTACCACTGATCTGGAGTAGTCCCTTTGCACCAGATCACGTACATATACGTGATCTGGCATTTTCGGGTAAGGGGTGCCTACACCTCGGCTGTGCTGTCATTTGTTGCAGCACAAGCCGGCCCGCTAATGATTTATAGCTGGGACCTGCTCTTTGGCTTAGCAAACAACAGTTCAGAGCCCTGTGTTGACAAATGAGCAAAGCAAGGAGATAAAACAGTCACATCTAGTAATAAAAGCAGCACACATTACAAATTGTTAGGCACACAGTTAACCCTTTAATTACCCTTAGATGTTATCCCCTTCTCAGCCAGTGTCATTAGTACAGTGACAGTGTATAGAATTAGCACTGATCACTGTATTAGCGTCACTGGAAATGTCCATGTCATTTAGTCAGTTCCCACCCAGTGACAGTTAGGGGGAAATTTACTAAAGCTGGTTCACTCAGAACCTCATGCACCTGTGCATGGTAGCCAATCAGCTTCTAACCTCAGCTTGTTCAATTAAGCTTTAGGAATAAAACCTGGAAGCTGATTGGTTTCCATGCAAAAGTGCACAAGATTCTAAGTGAACCAACTTTAGTAAATAAATCCCTTAGTGTCAGATCACAGTCCCACTACAAATCACTGATCACTGCCATTACTAGTATAAAAAAAAATAAAGAAAAATTCCAGTATACATATATATATATATATATATACCATTGTTTGTAGACACTATAACTTTTGCACAAACCAGTCAATATACACTTATTGGGATCTTTTTAAACAAAGACATGTAGCAGAATACATTTTGGCCTACAGTTATGAAGAAATTAGATTTTTGTATTGGATATGTTTTATAACAGAAAATTTTTGGTGGTCTGTTTTCGTGTATATATATATATATATATATATATATATATATATATATATTTAAAAAAAAACAGTAGTGATCAAATACTACCAAAAGAAAGGTCTATTTGTGTGAAAAAAATGCTTTAAATTTAATGCAGGTACAGTGTTGCATGACCACGCAACTGCCAGTTAAAATAGCAGTTTAAATACTAAAGGGGGGTAAAATGTTCCAGGGCTGAGGTGGTTATACATGTCTGTTTACCCTACAGACAACTTTTCTAAAAAGTAGCTAGCACATAAACCCATTTGTCATCAATTATTTGGACTTCTCCATTGTAATGCCTATGAAATGTGTTGGCCTTGGACCCTTTGTTTCTTGGGTAATTTTTACAATAAAGCATTGTTGCCCAAATGCCAGGGGCATAAGAGGTGACTAATGTGTCATTTCTCTAGGTCAAACGAACAAAGTCACAAGATATTCTGCTGAGAGCAAGATAAAAACTTGTTTATGGAATTAAACATGTTTATGACATCTAGTAACCTCACAT